TCTTTTTCTTTTTCTTTTTCTTTTTCTTTTTCTTTTTCTTTTCTCTTTCTCTCTTCTTCTTCTTCTTCTTTTATTTTTCTTTGTCTCTCTTCCTCTTCCTGTTTCTGTCTTTCTTCTTCTTCTTTCTCCTTTCTCTGTCTTTCTTCTTCTTCTTCCTTTTTCTGTCTTTCTTCTTCTTTTATTTTTCTTTGTCTTTCTTCTTCTTCTTCTTTTCTCTGTCTTTCTTCTTCTTCTTTTAGTTTTCTTTGTTTTTCTTCTTCTTCTTTTCTCTTTCTTTCTTCTTCTTCTTCTTTTTCTTTTTTCTGTCTTTCTTTTTCTTCTTTCTCCTTTCTCTGTCTCTCTTTTTCTTCTTCTTTTAGTTTTTTCTGTATTTCTTCTTCTTCTTTTCTCTTTCTTTCTTCTTCTTCTTTTTGTTTTTCCTCTTCTTCCTGTCTCTTTCTCTCTTCTTCTTCTTTTAGTTTTCTTTGTCTCTCTTTTTCTTTTTCTTTTCTTTGTCTCTCTTCTTCTTCTTCTTTCTCTCTTCTCTTTCTTTCTTCTTCTTCTCTCTCTCTTCTCTGTCTCTCTTCTTCTTCTTTTTGTTTCATTTTATTTAAAATATCTGTTGCTTTTATATTATTTTTATTTTTATTTTTATTTATTTCTTCTTCTTCTTCTTCTTCTTCTTTTCTTTCTTTTTCATCTGCAAATAAATCTGTCTCTACACTGTAAGCTTTCTTTAATCGAATACCAGATAAATCCTCCTCCTGCTGCTGCTGCTGCTGCTGCTGCTGCTGCTGCTGCTGCTGCTCCTGCTGCTGCTGCTGCTCGGGCTGCTGCTGCGGCTGCTGCTGCTGCGGCTGCTGCTGCTGCTGCTCCTCTGGTTGCTGCTGCGGCTGATCCTGAGGCTGCTGCTGCTCTGGTTGCTGCTGCTGCTGTTGCTGCTCCTTCTGCTGTTCATCCTGCTGCTGCTGCTGCTGCTGCTCTTTCTGCTGTTCCTCCTGCTGCTGCTGCTGCTGCTGTTCTGCTGCTGCTGCTGCAGCAGAAGCATCATGACGGTTTGCTGCTGCAGCTGCTGAGGAGGCTTTACGCCCTCCCTTCTGTTTCCCCATCTTCAAGGGTTTAGGGTTTAGGGTTTAGGGTTTAGGGTTTACGAGCCGCAGTATCGGCCGTGCATAAAGGGTCTAGGGTTTAGGGTTTAGGGTTTAGGGTTTAGGGTTTGTGGCTAAGCAATGACTGTGTGAATGCCAGCTCCACCAAAACCCTAAACCCTAAACCCTAAACCCTCGATGCGTCCAGGTAAACCCTAAACCCTAAACCCTAAACCCTAGACCTTCGGGCCCCTGGCGCTAAACCCTAAACCCTAAACCCTAAACCCTAAACCCTCGATTGGTATGAGTTGAGAAGGGCTTGAAGACAGTCACAAGACCGAAGAAATTTCTTCTGCTGCTAAGCAACGCAACAGCAGCAGCAGCAGCAGCAGCAGCAGCAGCAGCAGCAGCAGCAGCTAGGCGGTGCTGTGTGCAGGCAGCA